GGTCTGTGGGTCGGGTGACCCAGGCCTAACACTCACCCACCTGTCACCCACCCACTTGGGTGACCCAGGCCTAATGTTGACCCACCTGTCACCCACCCAGGCTACCTGGCCTTGACCCGCCCTCATCCCACCAAGGTCACCTTATGAAGACCCGCACCTGACCCAATGTCCTCGTGGGTGGGGTGGGTGCAGGTGGGTGCGAAACAAACAGAACTGCTCGGTAAACCATAGGCAGAGAGAGAGAAGAGGACAACAAACGAGGGGCTGTGACAAACTCTTTCGTCGGAGTTTCACCGACTCATCAGGAGGATACCGGGCAGTTCTGTTTGTGACGATATATATATATATATATATATATATATATATATATATATATATATATATATATATATATATATATTGCCGGGCTGACCGTTCGGTCGGGGTCTAGCCCAACCCCGAATGTTCGGGCGTTCGAGCGGCGTTCGGGGCCCGTCCGACCTCCTGTTCGGCCTCCGCCAAGGCCCGTAAGTGCACCTGTTTTTTTTTTTTTTTTTTTCGCGTTTGTCTGTTTTTGACTGTGGAAGGGGGAGGCAAAGCAACGCTAAACACGTGGTTTGTCAAAGAAAAAAGACAGAGAAAAAAAAATAAAAAAAACGCTTATCCAATGAAAGTGGGCCACGTGACGTGCGGGCCGAACGGGACCACGTTCGGCCGAACGCCGGGCCAGGTTCGGTGGTACCGGTTGGCGTTCAACCGCCCGTGCAAATTTGAAAAAAAAAAAGGGTCGGAATTCGGCCCCGAACATTCTATTCGGGCGAACTCCGACCCTTGTTCGTATTCTACGTTGCTGCGAACGCGAAGCACCCGAACGGCCAGCAGCACGCACGGGTAGGTCTCTCTCTCTCTCTCTCTCTCTCTCTCTCTCCTTTTTTTTTTTTCCCTTTATTCTGCTTTCTATCCTCCAATCAACCAATCAACAAATCAATCCAAATCGACAAGGAAGTTGATTGGTCGATTGATTGATCAATTGATTGATCGATTGATTTAGTGATTGATTGATTGATTGATAGATTCTCTCTCTCTCTCTCTCTCTCTCTCTATATATATATATATATATATATCGTCTTCTTTTCTTTTTTTCCTTTCATTCTTCTTTCTATCTTCCAATCAACCAATGAACAAATCAATCGAAAACGACAAGGAAGTTGATTGATTGATTGATTGATTGATTTGGGGTGGTGGGTGTTGACGCCGTAATTGGGGACGGAAGTCGGGATCGGTGCAGGGAAGTCGGTGGAGGGAAGTCGCATAGTCCGGGGGGCGGGAAGTCGGGGGAGGGAAGTCGGGGGAGG